CTCCATATCAAACTCTTTCCCATGTGGCATTTCCATAAAACCCTTGTGCGTTGATGTGAGTAGGTGGTGTATTGGCATAAATTTGATGATGTGCAGTTATATAATGGCCTCTGACCTATATGCAGCACGTGGATCTCTGAACACCTGCCTACAGGAGATGCACTGGGTGAATTAAAGTAGGTTGAACACACAATTTCACTCGCCGCTCAACACTGACTGACCCCAGCGCTGATTCCTGCTCGTGGATGGAGGTCTCACACCTAGAAGATGCGTAAAATCTCACCTCGGAGAATTTGTTCCACAAGTCATTTCTCGCTGCGTTTCCGTACATGTGCGTCATCAAGTAATCCTGCAAACAGACAGAGACAGAGATCAATATTGGAAGAGAAATAAATTGGACTTGGATGGGAACAGTGAACTTGGGAAACCAAATAAGCCCAAACAATAACATTACTAATCCTCTCAATTCAAGCTGAATGTATGCAAATTAGCAGCAGATGTTTGGGTGTGATTGGCTGTCAGTTCAAGGAGGACCATAAGGAGGCCAATTAGAGGCTGATTATGTTGTTCGAGGCGATGCTGCATCAGCATGTCACTGAATGAGTAACATACAAATCAGCAACATGATTTCTTTCAAGACATAAAAGATGGTCAAATTGTTTACATTAAAATAAACACAGGAGAAAACATTCGATTTATCCCATGAGTAAACATGTAAATACTCTTACAAAAAAAGCACTGTAGTAGCATATAATAATCATATTCATACACCATACAGTAGTTAAAGTATCAGTTACAGTACAGTATCTACATGTCACTCCATAGTACTTGCCATGTATGACTTATCTGTTATTACCAAAGTACATGCCTAAAAAGTATGGTAAATTTGGTGAACATTTATTCATAAGTAACGACTAATTATAAGTGAGTTTTGTGAAGAAAGGAAACACCTTACACTCAGCAAGGTGCATAATAAAAGTGCCTCGACATCAAACACAGACAAATCTGCATAGAAAAGTGGATGTAATATCTGTATTGTGGTGTATTATTGAAGCTAAGACACCGGTGGGTGTTCATTTCACTGCTAACAGACTTTAATCTGTTAAACGCCAAACGTTACATTATCAGTGCTTCTGTTCTGCCCTGCAGTCTCAGTGATACAGGTGGTGGACGACATGAAGAAGGAGTCTGACCCTGGAGAGCACATTTACATGCATCTGATAAGAACATCTGGTGGGAAGCCTCTTGGCTGCTGTATACGAGATTCCTCGATAACTCTTGAGTGACCGTGAACGATAAACCCGTCAACTGTAATCCGCTTCCTGTTGCTGGAGTCAAGAGAACATGCTGACAAAAAACTGCATGTTCCCTGCTAATACTGGTGCATGTCTTCTGTAGAACACAAATGGAGATATTTTGCAGAATGTCCGAGCTGCTCTTTTCAATAGGCCAAAAACATAGCCTATATTAATGCATTTAAACTCTTCTTAAGTCATAAGCTATCTTTGTGTGATAAACCGACCAAAAAGGTCTGTTTTTCAGTTTTAAACAACAATACCAGTACTCAATACCATTATTGTAGACACACTTCACTGGCTCTAAAAGAGGGGTAGATTTTAAGTGAATAACTGAAGAAAAAAAAAAAAGGATTTACAATGGCATGAGTGTGAGCAGATGATGGCAGAGTTTTCATTTTGGGATGAACTATTCCTTTAATAAGGCCATTATTTCAGCTTTTGCTTCATGAATCAAATCAAAACGGACACTTGTTGAAACGTGAACAGGCGTCATGCTGAGAGGTCTGAGCAAATTGCATTGGGATCCTGAAAGCGTGACCCAGTCCAGCTGGCCTTCATCTCTCTACATGCTCTGCTGAGCTCTCAGAGAGTCTGGGATTTGAGTCTGGAGCAGAACCAGATTCATGTTACCATCCTGATGAATCTGTTTTAAACCAGATCAATTCCTCTTCCTCTCTCACTCTCTCCTCCATCAGAGTTAATGCCCTGAAGCGAAGTGACCATGTGGTCCAATCTCGCCTCTGATAGGGCCGTCACAGTGTGTTGTCATTATTTTGACACTGATGTGTTCTGCTGACTGCGAAAGCAAGAATATTTTCATATATATATACAGTATATATATACAGTATCTGTTCTATAACAAGTGATAAATTGTATATTTAACCATTGTCTAGTCTCTTTCAGCAGATCTAAAAGCTGCGAGAATTTGAATTTGAATGTTGCAGTAAGAAATACCACTTCTGCTCATTTGCATAGCAGCGAGGGACCACCCAGAGCCATTTTATGTTGGTGTTGACATTTTCCAGTCTGCTTGGCATAAAATTGTGTATTTTAATGACTGTAGTGACCAAAACCTCTTACAGAGAGACACACGTGGACAGCAAAATCATATGCCTTAACAGCTGTCTACTGTCTGCATACTGAAAACATCATAAGGTGTAAAGCAGCATTCTAACCTAAAGTGAACCTCATATGACTGTCTGTATAGTGTTTCTCTACTTCTCACGTTCAATGATAGTCAATTACAATAGAGACTGGTGTTAGCATATGTTACTAACCTAATTTGATGTTGTAATAGGAAAAATAATATATAGCACATACAAAATTTAATTTGGAGGCCATATTTAATTCAAATTACACAACATTTTTTTTATCTTTTATGACTCTTTTTCAATGTTTTAATGCATCCTTAGGCTATTTTTAGTCAAAATAACTAATTTTTGAAAAGCATTGTTGTCAAGAGCGTATTGTGATTCTGAGAAGTCTGTCTAGATAGACAGCTTGGAACAGATCTAAAGATTCACTTCATAACTCAACAGATTCCAGTGGGATGGTTGTGTGTGTAATTAATTTACTCTAATTAGCAATGGCTAGTTTCTCCTCTGACACTCTCCAGGACAGAATAATATCCTGAACGTTCCTTCATCAGATATTATAACCACATTCGGTTTTGGTTTCTGATTCTGCAAAATCAAGATATATACAAAGGCAGACACAAGATTGATCGCTTTCGATATGTAAATACCCCGAAGCTAAAACACCAGTTTTCTGCAAGAGCCTTCACCACAACAGTTCATTATTCATCCAACTAAATGAGTTGTAATACAACTAGTAATACAAGATCAAATCAAAAGTAATACAAGAAGAAATATGTCTACAATTTTCTTGCATATGAAAGTCATTTTGAGGCAATGGAGGTAGATTGTTTGCTGAGGTGCTGTGTTTACCTATTCCTCCCATCAATCACTCAGAGACAGACAGAGATACTGAAAGTTCCCATAAGAGAGAGACAGAAAACAGTAATAATGAGGCGGAACAGTCGAGCCAGAGGGGCTGCTGGGAGAACAAGAGGAAGATGGGAAAAATGGATCTTCTCTGTGTTCCAGAATGTTGTGGAATTGAATCGAGGGGTATCTGGCTATTTCATCTGTGTTCAGAACGAATTATTAGCCCACAGCATCCGTCGGGAATCTCACAGACTGCCATTCTCCAAGTCAGGGACACGCTGAGAGCCGACAAACAGGACTATGAAGCACCGAATCCAGGGACGCAGCTTCCTGCGGTTCAAAATCACATCCAGAGGATGAAGATGGACTGTAACACGCTGAAGTTTATTTCTCCAGGGCAGGAGCGTACTTGTCCTCTGCTATTCATAGGTCAAGCATTTCACATTTCCAGCCGGAATGAATATTTCCTACATCCCATAATATGATCCATCTGAAAGTGGTTTTAAAAGCGATGGGCAGTGTGTGTAAATGAGACGCGAGCGCTTCATCGCTCCAGACAGAGCCCCAGAAGCCATTCAGACTTCATTTATGACTCCCTCTATTCTTTTATAAGAGACATTCATCCACCTGCATCAGCAGCCCATCCACCGTTTACTAGTGAAGATGAGAGAGAGAGAGGGATGGGTAATGCTGGTCTGGATGAGACTAAAGCCCGTCTGCTGCTTCTGAGCTGTTCGGCATTCACGACTGTCTGCTGCTTCAATTATGTAGAGACACGAGGAGGAGGAGAGATGCCACACAGAGCAAAAAACAGACACTGAGAGAATGAAATGAGCCTCGGTGAACAGACAAAGACAGACAGCAGACGAGAGAGGAGAACTGGATCACTGGCAGATGTGTGAGGTTGTATTTCTAATACTCAGACTTTCAGATCTACAGTAGAGCGGTTTAGGAGTTCATAAGACACTATATTGAGCATTTCTTGAGGAAGAAAGGAAGAAATGTGAGTATTACAAGGAAAAGAGGAAAATAAAACTAAACTAAATAATAAATGAAAGAATGAATAAACGAATGTAATTTTATTTTACATTTTTGGTGAGAAAGGAAAAATAAATAAATAAATAAATAAAACCTGTTTAATTTAGGAATTAACACAACATTTAAGAATTTAAAGATGAATGAACGAATGAATAACAGCATGATAAACTATAATAATTTTAAGAATGCTGCTAAATAATACAAGAATTTAACTAAATAATCAACAACAACAATAATAAAATGTAATAATACATTTTATTTTTCTACTTTCTACAGATTAATCACAATTACTTTATTGTGTTTCATTTAAAAATATATATATATAATAACCAAGAAAAAAATAATAATTAACCAATTCAGACAGAACTGCACATTATCTTGCTGTTGCATTAAAAAAGTAAATTGATGTTGCTAACAATACCACAGGTTTACTATACTATTGCACAAAACCAAACACATTAATTACAGTTATAACCCGTTCAAGATAAATGGATCACATACAGTATATGTGCATTAGACACATCAGTCTGCTGGTCTTACATGTATTTGTGCTGTGATATAAAGCTCATATGTGCAGATGTTACATCAGTAAATGAAGCATTAAATGTGTTGCTCTGCAGAAAACATGACCTGATTGTGCTTCCAAACACTAATAGCAACATTAAACCACAATAACAAAAATAACCCAGAAAACAACTCTGAAACTGTCAGATTTTTTACAGCATCTCAGGCATAAAGAAATACAATGAGAAGTTATGGATGTTTAGAAAAGTGATTTATGTGAAGGTGAGGAATCTGTACCTCTGAATCTGTGTGAACTCACACATTAAAGGAGGAGGGATTTGTACCTTTAACACATTTACATTTATTCGTTTACAGATTGACTCTCACTGGATTCAAACCTGTTTGTTCACAGCCCAGATCCTTTAACCACATTACAGGATGTAGTTTCATGTAGCAGCCATACGGTGTCCACACAGCCATTAATAATCTCTAATAATGCATCACGAGATCTGCTGCTCACTCCAGAGGAGCTCTGACTGCTAGACGGACACAGAAAGAGCTTCAGAGAACTTAAAACACTTCAGCTGGAGCAAATGACCATGTGACTATAAACAAACTGAAAAAATACAAGCCGTCTACTCAATATCAGCTACAGTACATGTGTTTTAATGCAGCGGATGTGTTTCACCATTACTGTAAACCGGTTTAACACAGAGAATGATTCTGAAACTTCTGATTGTAAAAGTTTCAGATATGAAATTAACTTCTGACACGAACACGTTTAATCACTTGTCTGATTGTGCTGCTTTCACCTCAAGCGTGATGGCAGCGCGTGACACAACAACAACAAGCTGTTGTAGCTCTAAAGATAAGAAATACATGTAAACCGACGCAACTGCACAATCTCCCAAACATACGAGACACTCAGAGCAACCTGAGGGGACTTGAACATTCACTGAGATATTCAAGTGTTAAATGGTGAGATTCATTTGTAACACATTCAGCTCACATTAACAGGATTTAACAAGGATTGAGTTTTTGAAAAAAATTTAAATTGAGAAGTATGTTAGGTATTATGCCACAATCCTCTTAAAGCTGCATTTATGCAGAATGTATAATTCATAAAGAGAGCCTTATAAACATAGTCATAACACATTAGGAGTAAAACATACATACGTGTGAAATCATCTGTGACCACAAAGAGAGAAGATGAAAGAAAACTATTGACTTACATTGAGGCCTCTCTGGAATAGTGCCTGTCCCATGACGTTAGCCAGCATTCGGATCAGAGCGGCTCCCTGCAGACACAACAGAAACACACACATTCAGTAAAAGCTTCTCATTTACACCTGCTCGCAAAATGTACATAGTATGAAAGTACAGTAATCCACCTACAATAGAAGTCAATGGGGCATGAAATTATGTAGGGTTAAAAAGAAAAATGTGAAGCTTGTATTTTTAAAGCGCATTTAAATAGCATTTTTAAATACAGTCCACTTCCTCATATTTGTATTTAAATTAAATGTAATTTATTCAGTCTTATTTTAGCAGTATTTACTGTATATACTAGTACAGTATTTTAATAATTAATATTTTGAATTAGTTTTCTAGTTTACATTTTAATATTTAAGTTATATTTCTATTAGTTTTTAGATTTTTATTTTTTCTGTTTAGCTTTGATTTATTTTATTTCAGTTTTTGTTTTAGTATGTTCTTTTTTTTTTTTAAATCATCCTCTAAAATTTTATTATATTTTTTTATTTAATATTTTATTTTTTAATAATTTTAGTTAGCCATAACAACTCTGAATTGAATTAAATTAAATTAAATTTATTAAAAAATTTTACATGCTTGTCCATCACAGAACTTGTTTAATATTTAATAAAAGATCAGTTATTAATAATGTCCCTGCTCTTTTTCTAGTAGCTCTTCTTTTTCAAGTATTCAAGTTTTATATAAAAAGAGACTCCATGACACTCGTCCTGCTGTTTTCTGCAGTTTCATAAATTTGTATCTTTTTGACTTTGAGTGACTTTGACATGCTCATTTGACAGCATCTAATTCCTATCTCCCCACATCCCATCCTCTACTGTCTGTGTGATGAGTGTCACTTCCTGTTAGCGCATTCACTGTGTCTGTGGATCAGCAGAGAGTCACGATCTCAAATACAGTCAGTCGTTCTGGAGCACATGAGGAAGATGTTACTCTGATACCAGCTTGTTCCCTATTTTAAGGAAGTCTCAACTGATTTTTAACTCTTTAATATAATATAATGAGAACAATAAACCACAATGAGGCAATTAAATTAAAAAAATTACCATGGTACTATACTGTTTTTTCTTTGAATAACCTTTGCATATAATGTAAATATACAAACACAATATGTTATACAAAATCACATGATTATATATGAAAGCATTACACTGCAGGTTCATATCCAGAACATCTTCATAATGGGCTCTCTGGCGAAATCTCTGCACTGAGTTATCAAATTCAAAACAACACTAAATTAAGGTTTTATAATTGTATTATTTTCTCATCTATGCATTTATTAAAAGTGTGTGACTGGTGAGCCAGCACACTATCAGCTGCTATAAACACATCTGGTTTTGACACTGTGCATGTTTTATTACACCTTTATTCTCCATCATTATGAATAATTCTTGCCCATTAAAGCTTTTGGCAGCTTGATTAAGAATCCCGTTGAAGACATTAATCCAAGACAGCAGGATATTTTAATCAAGGGATTTGAGCTCAAACAAACAACGCATGAAAGTGAATCAAGAAACAAATGTTCATGAAATCATTCATAGTTTTATGTCAATATAATAAGGCATCTTCTATTAACCCAGTGAATCCTGGTTACTGGTAAAGCTCAATCATAATCTCATATTCTGACTTTCTGCTAAAAGCAGATTAATGAAATGACATGCGACAAAAAACAGACTCACATAAAAGAGAAAAGTCCACAAATCAATACAGAGAATATTTATCTGAGTGGTTGTTGGGTGGCTTTTTACCATATTTGTAAATAACGTTGTCTGTCAGACGGATTTGAAATAAATTATTTAATTCTTAACATCTAAATTAGGCAGCAGCTAATGAAGGATAACATTTCCTATAACAAAATTACATTTACCTTTAGATATTTGGGTCACCTTAAAAAAAAAAACTGAAATATGCTTTTCTTAATGAACTGCAGCAATAATTTATCCCTCATATTTAACTTCAGAGAGAAGATCTTGGAGAAAGTAGAGACTTCTAGAGTAATCAGTGTCCTAATTTCTCAAGCTATTTATATCATCACTTAAGTGGACTTGTAGAAGAGAACACTGTGTGACCGCTGTCTCATAAGTATTTTCTGATGAGCAGTTGCTTCATTATTCAGACTAATACGAGCCTCAAAGTTTAATGTACATACACTACCATTCAAAACTTTGGGATCAGTAAGATTTTAACTAAGAAGTCTTTTATGCTCTTATTATGTATATTCATGGAATCAATAGCAAATGAGGCCTTCATGTAAATTTACAACATTATGGTGAATGTGAATACAGAAAAACAGACACAGAGAGAAAGAAAACAGCTGGTGATTTTATGCGAGTCATGTAATGTGCTCTATAAAATGAGAAGAGCAGCCATCTGGCCCATATGTGCTCTCAACAAGGTGTTTAAGTCCAATGATACTTCATTTAGATCCTGCTTATTAGCGTCTCAACATCATCACCTGCTGTACATGTATGGCGTTATTTTAATGACAAATGTTGAGAGCGCATTATTGTAGTGCGAAAGCACATTAATATAATGTGCCAGTGCAAATCTCTTTTGCTCTCGCACAAAACCGGACGCATACTTAAAACGTGTCTCTCCTCTCACTCAAACTGTGTCCTGTGCACTCACAAATCTCTCTGTGCTCATGCGCTATAGATATTAATTATTTTCGCACCTGAATCTTAAATCTTAAATCTTCTGATTTAAGACAGAACTATTTAGATATGGGTCAGATGCACTTTTCCCTAAACCGATACTTACGATTTTGAGACCAAATATAACACTATAATGAATTTTTCATATTTGCCATAACATTACTACATTCTGTTCTATGGGTTTAATGCATTTGCAGTTAATTACATGTAACTGTCATATAACTGTACAGTATATTCACTGTTTTAGAGGAGAGTGCCATTGAATGTGTAGCTAATATTAAGTGGATTTTCATGAAAAAAAAAAATTCAGAACTGAACAAACACTGGATTTAAAGAAAAAAAAAATACTCCCAATAAATGTCCAAACAGTGATGCTATTAGAGCATTTATTGTATTATATCTTGCATAATTTACATCTATCTTTGCATTTGATGTTGATTTGAGGAGCTGTTACTTATTATTGCCATCATACCAACTGAGAATTTATTGCAATGATTTTAAATTCAGTTGAGGTATCTGACATATTATGACATAACATTGATGTTTTATATGAAGTCTTTAGAGCCATAGGCTATAATATGTTGTTTTTAGATAAATTGCTCAGAGACCAACCAGTTGGACAGAGGTTATATGTACCTATACTTACGATTTGGAGACCAAATATAACACTATAATTAATTTTTCATATTTGCCATAACATTACTACATTCTGTTCTATGGGTTTAATGCATTTGCAGTTAATTACATGTAACTGTCATATAACTGTACAGTATATTCACTGTTTTAGAGGAGAGTGCCATTGAATGTGTAGCTAATATTAAGTGGATTTTCATGAAAAAAAAAAATTCAGAACTGAACAAACACTGGATTTAAAGAAAAAAAAAATACTCCCAATAAATGTCCAAACAGTGATGCTATTAGAGCATTTATTGTATTATATCTTGCATAATTTACATCTATCTTTGCATTTGATGTTGATTTGAGGAGCTGTTACTTATTATTGCCATCATACCAACTGAGATTTAAAACAGTGTATACAAAGTAGCCTACTTTACAAAAAGATGCATATGTGCATTCGCAGAAAAGATCAAAATACAAACATAAAAGAGATATAGTAAAACAAAGTAGCTACAATAACCAGTTTATGTTAAAACAAAAATACAACAATTAAAAATCAAGGTAAGGCCCTGCACAAATCTGTTTTGAGACTAGGCTACTTTTTAAAAGCGCATAATGATAACTTTTGACAACGTTTAATTCAGGTGCGAAAATAATTAATATCTATAGTGTATGAGCACAGAGAGATTTGTGAGTGCACAGAACACAGTTTGAGTGAGAGGAGAGACACGTTTTAAGTACGGTTTTGTGCGAGAGCAAAAGAAATCCGTGCGCAAACGGAGAGATTCGCGCTCGCGCATTATATTAATGTGCTTTCGCGCTACAATTATGCGCTCTCGACATTTGTCATTAAAATAACGCCATATAGATGCACCTGAAGTTTCACACTGATCAACCGCTTTAGGCCAGAGACAGCAGTGATGCCTGGTTTTGGAGCAATGCCTTATGAGTAACCAAACCTCTCTCAAAGCATCTCTAGCATGATGGATGTGAGAAAGTGGAGGAAAACCAACAGTCCAGTAGTTATGAGCAGGTCAAGGAACCTATAATGACCTATTACAGGTCCACGTCAAATCCATTCCCAACATTTATCTGTGCACTTATGAGTTTTCAGTTCTGGTTTCAACTCCTTCCTCTTGAAACATGCAATTGTATCCATATTTTGGTAGGGACATGCTTACAGTCATCCTATCAGCGTACTGAAGTGTTTCCATCAAAACCCAATTGCTCCCTAAAATGACATTCCCTAAACAGTCTCTCTGCTTGGCTGGTGCCCCGTAACCAAGGTGGCTTGGAGCAGAGAGGTATAAAATACTGGGACAGACAGATGGGAAGGTCATTATGTGAAAGTGAATGAGAATGTGAATGTATGAGCTGAATGCACACACATATTAATATAAATATGTATGAACAAAAATGAAACAATTTAAATAGTAAACTTTTGGTGTAAACAGTTTAGCAAAAGAATAGCTTGAGACTGCCTTTAGCACTTGGTATATACTGCCCTTAGTTTACACTGTATGTCCAGTCTAAACCACACATCAGGTCTGAATCATGACCAACAACCCACAACAATCTTCCAACTAGCTCATGATAAAATTGCACACAGTCGGTGACTCATATTGACCTGAAGATCCAAACAGATTTTATCAGCACGACTGCTATTTCAAAGTGTCATAAACATAGAAAAACTAGGTTGTGTTTTGCTGTGCTGATGACCTGTGTATTCATTTCATTTACGAGTGAGGCCTCAAGTGCGTCACAATAGCTGCATTACAGGCAACTAAGCCTGGACTGGAATAGCAGTATGCTAATTTCTAACACCATTATGTTCAAACAAAAGCAGATCTAGAGGGAGAACTGTTTGTCCTTGTATTATTTCATCAGGTTGTTTTTCTTTAACAAACCTGAAAGTGGATTTTATTAAGAAATGTAAGAGATATGTAGACATTGAGCAGGTAACAAACAAGAAAATGTGTTTTGTGTAGCATCATAATGTATGTTACATGCTACAATAATTAAACTGACAGTCATCGATATACACTTAACGTATACTGATATCCAGATCCTAATGTAGAAAAATGCCTTCAGAAGAACTGCAGGATGGTTACTGTGGGATGTATGGGAACTGTGGGAAGCTTTTATACCTGGTCAGAAACAACTGGAATTGCGTCCTGTTCTTTTATTTAATATGAAACAGATTAAACAAGTAGTAAATGTCCATAAAATGTGGAATTTCTTGGTTTTGTGAAACTGTTATCAACGGTAATATTGAGCAATCAGAGTATCTATAGCACTCAAATGAACTGTGAAAGGATTGTTGTTTTCTGCTTAGTTGAATCTTGACACAAAAAGAAATGCTCAAGATCTTGTGTATGTGAAAATCATTGAAGAATTGCCCTCATTTTAAGGCATTCAGATCTGAATAGCATGAAAACCATCAAAACTCTCTCTATATAGCATATGAGTATGTGTGTATGAGACAAATCTTTTGTGTCACATCACATCAGTTCAAAATGATGGATGATTCAATGCATGAAATGAACTGAATACTATAGCGCTCACTTCTGCGCAACAACTCACCATGTTCCACTTTGGAAAGAGGAAATCAGTACCGATGTACTCGAAATAATGAGCGAATCCCTCCTTCAGCCAAACGTCCTCCCACCAAACCGGTGTGACTAGATCCCCAAACCACTAGAAGAGCAGAAATGAACAATCACTCATCCAAAGAGAAAAAACAGAGCGACCATATACAAAGATAGATTTTATGTTCACTGTCGAAGAATAACAACATTTTTTTGTTGTTTTGTACAAGAAAAGTGTTTATGGGTATTCTGAAACCAAACTTTATTTGGACAAAATATTCAATTTAGAGAAAAGAAATATATTACAATCCACGCTCCTATTCATCCAATATCTGCAAAAGCATATTGCATCTAGTGGCAAACACATTTTATTAGAAAAGTCCAATACAGCATACAAAATACCTTGTGCTCTTCAGAAGTAGAAGTGCAAATAAACACTCTGGTTTAACAGAAAAGTTGTTCACAAAAGGCTTCACAGAACATTGAGAACACAGCGGAGCTTCTGAACTATGATTAATAGTGGCTTACTCCCATCTGGAAGGTAGAAAGAATCCAAATGACCCCTGCCATTGTGTGCAGATGACAGTGTGCAAAACAGGGCTATTGAATGGAAAAGATGCAACATTGCAGTTCTAAATGGGCTGAATATTTTCCAGACTCTGAGGCCGTCAAGCAGATGTGCTACTGAACGCCGGATCTCATTGTTGCAGCACACAAACCTCTGTAGGAGTCAGACCTCTTTCATATGAACACGACATCATTACAGCAGCTCAAAGCGTCTGACGGGACGTTCATCTGTGACTCAGACACATGGACTGATAGCGTGGAGAGAGACAGCTGGTATTCTGCTCTCAGAGGAACCTTCTGCTAGTCACACATCAAGTGACTTCCCATAGGTTTACTGTCTTTTTCTGCCCTCTTCTGATTTATCAGATGTTCTGACGCTAATGACAGTGAACCAGGATAGTGAGTCACATCACGTCATTTATTGCGTTTAAAAAGACTGAGCTTTGCCAAGCAAATGGATTGGTATAGTGAAATCTTGAAGAACGACACAGATAGTTCAACAACACTAGAATGTCAATGAACGGTACGAACTGTGAGACCTTCGCTCAATTATGTCTGTGAGATGAAAGCTAAACCGAGGGATTCTGCAGCCCACCTGCTTTATTAACAGATACTCTGGAGGAAGTCGTGCAGGGAAGAGTTCACACTATGCCTCTATACTGCAGTATATAAGGGACGTTTGAAAAAGGAGAAAACCTTCAACGGCATCATTATAAAACAACCTTAAGTTGCATTATATATTATTGACATGAAGTCTTCAAACAACCTCAAAGTCTTGTACTTACCTACAAATAATTAAATATAAGTGTCCTTCATTGACATTTAACAAGGAGGTTCAGACAAGGTCTGTCTGGTTTATGACTGCAGGGCAAAGGTCATTGCCTTCTCAACTGGAAAACCCCAGGAAAGAAGTCCTTAGGCTGTATTTTAGCACAAGCTAAATATTATATGGCTCACAGACTCAAACCTCCCACATAAGCACCATGGTCTAAAATCCCTTACAAAAAAGAAGTGTATTAGTAAAGTTTATGTATATTTTGCAAGTGTACTTTGTAGTAATATCAATGTACTAGTAGTACAGTTGTAAGTGAAAAAATTTCAATACTCCGTGGGACTAAATTGGCCATATTTTAATTGATAAAAGTGTCATTTTAAATACACTTTAAATATTAAAATGTTTATTATAAACATATTTCATTTAAAATGGCAAAGTATTAATAAAAATAAACATTGCACCCACTATTAAGTCTTTTATGTGCTTATTACAGAATTTCATTTTTGGCTTAGCAACATGCTAACATCAAACTCTGAGAGTTAAACAATGGGAACCAAATTTGTCATGTACTTTACATTAACTGAGTTAATGCCTATACAGCCTATCAAATCAGCCACTTAATGAGGCTTAATTTCAATGAAGATTCTTCCTTAGAAGGCAGCTGTCTTTGTAGAAAGCTCACTAGGTTCTGGAACAGAGCCATCATCACACTTCTTGTTTGAGCTAATAAAACAAATGACTGTTTATCCTGAATCTCAGTAAACCTGAACTAAATGAAACTGGAAACTGCTCCAATGTGAATATTTGAAACCCTCTGTTTTGAGTGACAAAATTAAAATATTCAGTATTCAGAGTGAGAGTGTGAAATCCCCAGTGTCCTATGTGTTTACAGACGCCGTCTTTTATAAATGAGGCGAGAACAAAACACCAGCCAACAGACGTGAGTCATTTAGACATTTATCCTCATATTTAATGTGTAACTTATATTTAATGTCTAATGGTTTGAGATGTATGTGACGTATAAGAACTGAAGCCTCACGTTTTCTATCATATTCAAACCCAGAGGGCAGAATGTCACCTCCCCATTTGGTGGAAAATAAGAAAACTCAACATCAGCTGCATCAGCCTCTAATAGGCTCGTGTTATTGGCTGAATAACTGCATATGAAGGGCTCTGGCAGCATCATTTAATCTGAGAGGCTGAAATGAGATGAGAATTTAACCGTGATTGAGCGTCTGTGACATATAAACCCCATGGAGGAGGCAAATCTACTAACAATCCACTGCTACAGCATCTGACATTAAAATTAGCCAGTATATAGAGAGAGGTGGTCCTGAGCCCCAGAGAGCCAGAGGATAAACTTATACAATAAAAAACAGAGCCTGTCGTCCACTAATCAATTATCTGTAGGCAGTCGGAGCGAGCGACGAGATACAAATGTGATTAATCAGACTCCAGGCACTTTGCCACCAGCTCGAGTTATTAAAGCACAGACAGACCTTTTAATATATGACATAGCGCTGGATGAGGACTGATCTAATGCATTCACAATGAATCACTGTTGCCAACTCTCGCAAGACAAATGAGCAACCGCAGCTTCAAAAACAAGCCCAATATTTTTTGATGATTTATTATCATTAATATTATTTATTATCAATTATTTATTACCAATAAATGAGCCTGCAACATATTCAACTGAAACCACCCTTTTATCTGAAAAGGAAGAGTTATTTTACAAAATTCAGCAAACTGCAACAAAGCAAGAACAAAACTCATCTCCAATCACCAGTGAGCAGAACAGGATTGGAGAGATGGAAAAGGAGAAAAAACACAAGAGCTTCAAAGGGGAGCTGTAACACAGCCACATATTTATAGCCTACTAAAATATAGGCTATTTGAACCGAATGCATAGGCTACTCTTAGTATTAGTATAGGCCTACTTGTTTTATATTACAGCCCATGATAATTAATACATTACAAAAACATTAAAAAAAAGCCCAAAAAATTAGGCTACCTTATGAAAGAAAGTCATACCACTCCTCTACATCTACTACTACTATCATCACTTGGATTATAGTGTCACGTGCCGTGATTTTTCTTCAATCCCTCATTGAAGAAAAATCACGTTCACAAAGAAGGCGCGTGAGGAGGGGCGGAATATTTGAGAAATTACGCTACAGCACTATTATTGCACTGGTTGGCTATAACTGTGAGCAGACAGAGTGTCAGTCAATGCATTGGAGAATACGGCGAACATAAATCAAAAGAAACGAAGTTGCTCGTCATATTTTCCTAACAAGCAACCATATTTTTTTTAATAAACCCAAAAAACCGCAACCCAGAATTTTTTCACGCAGCTTTACAAAAAAAGAAGCCCAAAGTCGCGTAGCGATATCAAGCAGACTTGGCAACTGCAATGAATGTGTCAATTCAATACGACAGGTGAGCATAAGCCCTGCCCACTCTGACGCTTTGAGTTCATCTACACTGGACAATAATTAGCCGTGTTTAACTCCATACGAAAATGATTCGCATGAGACTGAAGCAGAGAAACAGTTTGAATAAAAAAATGGCGTCTTAATTAAAAACATAAAGATGAGCAGAAGCTCTAGAGAGCTGCGACACAAAAGAGTGAAACAGCCTAAGGTGGAATTCAAAACGTGTGACGGCTAATCTCTATCTTTTACTCTCTCTCTCTCTGTTTATTTTTCTTTCTCTTATTCATAAATAAGCACACTTACTCTCTTTCCACACACCCACACACAGTTGTGTTTGATGTTTATTTGGACTGTTTTCATGGTTAACTGACATCCTAAGTTAGCATTAACACACTTTCGCTATTTTGCGTTTTGTCGAATTGATGGCAAATTTCAGGCACGTGCACATATAGACATCAAAGGCGGCTTGAGCATCTTCCCTTTTTCTTCCTCGAGAGAAATTGCCCCCCTTTTTTTTTTAAATAAATGAATATATGTATATATATATGTGTGTGTGTGTGTGTGTTTCTGTTTGGCACAGCTTTCCCTGTCAAACAAATAAAAAATCAAAATATCAGGTCGGGTCAGGAAATGCTTTTCTCCCTCCTTGTCTCCCCAGCACAGCAGTGTAGCATCGGCACATCACAGTAACTAACAGGAAGAGAACCGCAGAAGTGAAGCCCTCACTCCCTTTCCAGTTGTGTTTGTCTTGCTGTGGAGGTGAGTGGTGATGAACAACAGACTAAGCTACCTGTGCCTCAAATTTACAGCTAATTATCCAAAATAAAATGATAGTGAATTTGTCTTGCTAACATCCATGACTCATGAGAGCTACCATGTAACTTAAGTTAGCTAAAGTTTAGCTTTGGTCTAGTAGGTTAGACCAGTGTGCGTTCTTTCACTGCATGATTCAGTTTATTAAAATGCATTTAGAATGATCACAAAAATCAACATATGGAGGCAGAAATGTATATATTTATATCATTTCATATAGTTAATCAGTATCACGTGAAGACTGACGTTTTTTTCCACCAAAAAGCAGCATGATTGCAAATGTGGTATTGATTTAATACAGCAGTTCAATAAACAAGAATTTAATATTAAGACTGTTTTTGCTCTATTTTGCAAACAAATATAATTCCAATTTGCGTCTCTGAGCAACATGACACTGTTTTGTTCCTGAATGAATCAACCTTTAAATGATTCGGTTCAGTCGCAATGACTCACTTAACAGTGACTTGCTGCCACCTAATGGCGGTTTTAATTTCACATTTAAAGTATCTTTTCATTTAAAAAATAATAATAATTTCAAATATCAGTATTCAACGTTTTATGTTTAAAATATCAAAGCAGTATTAATGCATTTGTAACTGCAGGTTAAATACATTCATGTCCTACATTAAACAGTGTGTAAATGCATCTAAATGCCCCTTCTAATGAAGCTTCTGTGTTTTCTCTGCATTGCAAAGATAAATTTTGTCAATTTTGCAGAATATCAAAAACTTTAGGAGTCAGCTGTCCAAGGTAGTCCTTAAGATAACAGCACAATCAAAATATAATAAAATTATTATTAAAATAAAATTAGCATTCAGCACAAGCAAAATATCGTCTAATTATCATTATCGATAACATCCCAGAAAATATCGAGATATATTTTTTGTTAATATCGCACACCCCTAATATATTTAACGTTTTGTTTAGAAAAAATTAAAATAAATATGAGAAGTGCCCTTTTTTCCACTTGAGCTCCTGCCCCTCAAAATGTCTGTGCACGTCCCTGGCAAATTTGTTTGGATTTCATATAATCTCATTAGCACATTTTCGTACAATCTGCTTTGGTTTAGGTGTGGGGTTATATCCGTACATTTTTAAAACTAAAAATCATGTTTCCAAACGAATCACATCATAGAAATTCATAAAAAACACCACTTTGTAAAATTGATAGATTTTTCTCATAAGATCAGGTTGGTAAGCATACATGCATTTGCAGTGTGTCAGAATACAAGATGCGTTGCAACACATTAAATGTGTATTGCGATCTCAAACACTTAAATGAGACAAAACTTTAACTTCTCAACTGTATAAGTTTATTCTGTATTTTTAAAGCACAAACACTAGATTTCAGCTTTACAGTGTGCTGTACACATCATACATAAGTGTGAATTCAGTGGGGAGGTTAATGTAATGCAGGACAGTATTGGACATATTTCAGTTTTCTGCCTGTAAACAGCATCACCAGTGAATATTATAGTTCCAGCCTCCGCTGCTGCTTCTTTCAATTATCCCTGATCATAAAAAAGGGGTTTATATGCCGAGAACAGTCTGATCTGGGATACCCTCATGAATTTCAGCTCTAAAAATATCAAATATGCACGTTATTGCTGTTTCTGAAATAATATCATGATTTCATGCTCCCTGTGAGAGTGTTTTACTGTTTAAGGTTCAGAGTGAGTTCAGACAGAGCTGTATTATCTGTGCAGAAATGAGAGATGAGGGGATTGTCTTCCTTTATTTCCTTCTCCCTAAAAATATAACAAAAAAGAGAAAACAAATGAAAAAAGAAAAGAAGAAAGAACTGCAGACATGCTGTTTCGTCCCGCTCATTGAGCTTTCATCCAAGCAACGGCATCTAGAACACAATGCAGAGCTGCAATTCAGCAGCACATGAGAAATATGGCAAGCCGTCTTTACTTTTATTCCTTCACAGGATATGAATTCTTGATATCAACAATTCAATTTTCAGTAGTTAAAATGCTAATTCTTGATATCAGGAATTAAATGTCAACTAGTAAAAAATATAATTCTTGATATCTGTAATTGTATTTTGAAACACTAGCTTTCTATTTTTTTTTTCTATACTATCTACTTGTTTTTCTTTGTGTGTGTGTGTGTGTGTGTGTGTCTGTATATGTGTGTGTGTGTGTGTGTGTGTGTATGAGAGAGAGTGACAGAGACTCTGTGTGTGTGTGTGTGTGTGTCATGTGATTTATTACCATATGACAACAAGAGATATTAAAGATATGTTAATGGTATTTCTGGGATAGTTCACCCAAAAATTAAAATTTGTATTTGTTTACCCCAAACAAATATGATATGTATTTATTTATTTATTTATTTATTTATTATTTTTTGTTTGTTTGTGGAACACTTAAGCATGATTTTTTAATTATTGTCATGACTTTATAGTGCATTATGACCTAAGATTCTTTGAAACATAAGGGATGCTTAAAAATGTATATTTTCATGTGTGTATATATATATATATATATATATATATATATATATATATACATACACACACACA